CCTCAGTCCCAGACCTCATCCTGCTGATCCCTCGCCTGGACCGAAAGCCTGATGCGCAGACTTGCTGCTCCTCCGCCTTAATTAAAGGCCCTCCTTGCACCAGGTGGGATGTGGACGGGTTATCATTCACACTAGGAGGCGGGCATGGCTGGGGACATGGAGAAAACTTGTGTGGCAGCCCACCTGAAGTTTCTTTGTGTGGGGTCTCCTGGGAGAGAAGCAACCCTGGGGCAAGGCGAGGACAGATCTGACCGGTTTGAGCTGAGTGATGGGAAGGGGCAGAGATTCAGAATGTAGCAGGGAGGTCATTCCACAAATCCTCTTAGGTGAAACAAGAGTGAAAGCTGACCTGGAAAGAGTGGGTTTACAGAACCTCACCTGTGTCGAGACACAGGCCACAGCGAGGGTAACACAGAGGGAAGGTGTCCGTTCTTCTTTCCAGGCCAACTCGTAATTGACCTTGGTGCCTGGAGGAGCACCACGGAGCAGGTGCGCTCAGTTGTTCCGACTTCTTGCCATTAGAAGCGTCGACAGGGAACGTTGATTTATACACTTATGCACTTTATACATATAACTTTATGCACATCCATCATTCTCCCCTGGGATAAATTAGGTCAGAAAAGTGCAGAATTCTGAAGTTGTCCTGCTACTTTTTAAAAAAGTCTATGTGCATATACAGCCTGACTTATTTCCTTTTTTTCCCTTTTATATGAGATGTTTGCGTACAAAACTTTCTCTTTTTGCTAAAACTATATAGACACATTCTGAAACCTTTTCTTTGGCCTCAGGGGAGGCATTTTTGTTTTCGTTTTTATTTTTGGCCACACTTCTCTTCTGTGGCAGCTACTCTTAGCTGTCTGCTCCAAAGCCATTCCCAACCCTTGCCCACTTCCAGTGATGGATGTTGGGGAAGCCACATACTGGCTTCCTCTGACTTCTTTGTAGCAAGCAGTGGCTAAGCAGCCCTGTCTGACCAATGAGAGAGACATAAAGGAAAGACTGTTGGAGCCTTATGGAGAAATGTTTTTCCTCTCCAAGAGGAGGCTTGAGAAAAGAAAATCTCTGAGGGGAATACTCCTCTGTGCCCTGACTGCAAACAGTGGTGTAAGGATGTAATCTTGGAACGGTGGCAGCCATCCTGTGATCACGAGGCAGCAGGTGTGAGGAAGAACAAAAAAGCAAAATACTGATGATGACAGAGATAAAGGGGAAAAGGCCTGAGTTTTGAAGATACTGTTACATGGCTGGATCAGCCTTGGGAACTCCTACCTCTCATTTTCTGTTCTGTAAGGTGATAAGTACCAAGATTACCTCAGCTATTCTTACTCATGGCTTCTTTTACTTACAACAAATGCAACTTAGTTGAAACAAACTCTCCTTTTTTAAAAAAAAAATTCAACACGAGATTATTATTCCTCCCCACTTGTCCTGCATTCCTTCACCACAGGGTGGTTTTGATACTTCCACTCTGATTATATCATTTACAAGCCATTTTAAAATGGAAGACACCAGGTTCATTTCTTAGCAATTCTGATGTCCCTCACAAATGTTCCTTCCCACTCAGCACGAGTTCAGCCTGGCTTTTCCAGGGTTTGGCAGGGGACACAGCAGCCCTGAGCAGTCAGTCAGCCGCCTTCTTCAAGGCTCCACCCTGCTGCCCCCCGCCCCCCCACCAAAAAAAACCCATGGCAGCAAGGTCCTGGAAGAAGGCATTCCTGAGTTCTGCTGTTGGGCAGCCCTGCCTGCTTCTCACTCGGGACTGACCCCAGCACCTTCCTTCCTGAGGAGGGGTCAGAGTGGGTGGGGTCTTTGTCCCACTGCCTTGTAGCTAAGACCAAGTTAGGCAGACTTAATGTTAAAACCAGAACCTTTGTCCTGGAAATAATACACGAAGTGTTCATGCCTGGAATACAAAATGCTCAGCAATTCCTTCAGATTCAAAGTCAGCTGGAACCCTTTTCCCTTCTGCAGGTATGTTTGGACTGCTTCAAATGTTTGATTGCATTACTCTCGAATGGCTGGCTTCCTATTGTGGTTTAGCTAATATTCAACTTTCCTGTGACAGGAATAAACTACAGGGCTTATTCCACCCTGTAGCCCGTACCTTTCACAAAGAACACATGGGAGGCTGTGGGAGCTTGGAGTCACGCCCCGTGGCCAGGGCGGGAGGGTGCAGGCTGGCGATCAGCGCCCCCTTCCTGGCTGAGAGTGCCATAACGGAGGACAGAGGGGAAGGCGGGGCGGAAGCTCAGGTGGAGGTGTTGCAGGTGCACTTGACATAGACCAAGGTCCTCAGTGAAAATGTGAGTCCCACGGTGGGAGTGGCAGAGAGCAGTAGAGTGCAAAGATGAAGTACTTTAGTCAACAGATAAGAAAAATCCCGGCTGTACCATATATTAGCCATGTGACCTTGGGTGAGTGGTTAAACCCCTGTGAACCCCAGTTTTCCAATCCATAAAATGTGAGCTTAAAGAAGTTGTGGTATAATGTACGAGGAACCTGGATCTGAGCTGGGTGTAAAAAAGGAAGACCTCTGGGGGAGAGGAGAGGAGAGGCGGTCAAGTCCAAGCTGTGGCTGAGCTGGTCTCGGTGGGTTTAAACTGTTAACCAGTTTAAAGTGATAGTTGATTTTCCCATGGTCAGGCCAGGCCACCCTTAAAGCTGTGTTACTTGCAGGATAGCCTAGTGCTATTTGCTGGCTTATTTTAAGGAGAAGGAGATGAAGGTTCAGAACAGCCCAGAGCCTTGCCTGAGGCCCCCCAGCTGTTGCAAGGTGGAGCAGTGACCAGAACTAGACCTAAGTAATTAGTGTTAACTTGAAACCCTGTTTGGTAACTAGGACTTTAAAATTTTCAGTCCAGGCTGGCCAGGGGCAAAATGGAGTAAAATGAACGAATTGCAGGCCATCTCCACTTTTTGCGCCCTTTCACCTCTCCACATGCTCTGAAATTTCTCAGAAAGCATTTTCCCACGGCTAACCTCACACTCAGTACAAAGCTTCTCCCCAAGCTCAGGCACAAGACAAGGATGCTTACTCTCGCTCCTGCTATTCAACTGAGAGCTGATGTCCTAGCCAGAGCAGTTAGGCAAGAAAAGGAGAGGCTTTCCACATTGGAAAGGAAGAAGTAAAACTATCTTCTTTTTTTTGCAGATGACAATTTTCCACATAGGTAGGCATTTAAAAACTTATTCAGAGTAAAGTATAAATGACTGATAAACTCAATGAGAATTATTTTTCTCTCAAAGGTGTTTGCTTTCAAATTGGTGTGGCAAAGTCTGCCTATGAAATTTATTGCATTGGTCAGTGCATACAAACTTTTAATAAAAGAATTCTTAAGTTTTCCACGGCCACTGAAGTCACAGTATCCACAGAGTGGACTCTCTACCCACACTGTCACGCAGTGCCTCTTCCCAGGCCCCTTTCTCCTTTTTGTCTCCAGCTTCCTTCCATCTTCTTCTTTTTACCTGTTTAAGGGTAGGACGGTGCTTAAAGTGTGGTCCCTGGACCAGCAGCAGCATCACTTGGGAACGTGTGAGAAGGCCAGTTCTCTGGCCCTGCCCCAGGCTGAGTCAGGAACCCTGGGCTGGGGCCCACACAGCTGTGTTTCAAAAACCCTCCAGGTGATTCTGATGCAGACGAAAGTTTGAGGACCCGCGGACTGTGGAATGGAATAAAACCAGTAATTTATCCACATCAGGAGATGTTGGAATAGTAGCTAAATAATAGCAGGGAGTGTTAACAACAATGCAATCAGACATAAAATGCCACCCCTCCCGTAGCTGGGCATTTTGGCGAGGACCGCCTGCTGGACTGCTGCCCCATGTCCCCCGCCCAGCCCCTTAGGTGCCCCTTGGGCTCTGCCTGGCTCTCTCTTTCTCCTTCCTCTTCCCACCCCTTCCTGGGTTCTGACTTTTTCCCACACAGGCCGATACTAGCTCCCTCAGTTTGGTAGCGCTGTTTTCTGGGTAGCTCCCTCTTGTCTGTCACCTCCCTTAACACCACAATATTGGTTCTGGGCCCTGAAATCTTGGAGGCTCAGCTTCTTGAACACTTAGTCCTCTTTTATGAGTTTATGGGAATGATTGTACAGAAATTCCCACCATCGCTGATGGCTGTTTGTTGGGCCACTTGACACATTTTCTTCATCCAACCCTCAGAGCAAAGCAATGGTACTTGCTTCTCAGCCTAATCCATTTGTTTAAGGATTGTTTCACTACTGACCTCATTCTAATCAAAAGGCAATTCTATGGGGAGTTGCAGATGCCGTTGAATGAGAAGTTTCTGTTTAAAAAGGACAGCTCTTCCCCTGGCAGCCAGGTGGAACTTCTGCCACTTTTGAGACTGGGAGCATCGAATAAGCACCCTGACAAGTCCTCCAGCCCATGAGTTCTTCAAGGAGCTAGACTACAGATTGACATCTGCACTGAACTAGGGCATCCTGGTAATGGGGTACGTGCTGGAACCCCTAGTTCACTAGAGCCCTGCAGGGCAGGAGGACGAGGACCCTGACTTCAGGTTTGCCAGTCCGTGGTCTGTGGTGTAGTCAGGGATCCAGTAGCCATAGAAATGGCCTTCCTGCCTAGACAACATCCTGGAAATTAAGAACTGTTGGCAGTTTTGCTCTGCGAACTCAGTTTTCCCCCCAGAAGGTTGGCCATGGGGTTGTGAGCACAGAGGGCATCTTCGGGGGTCTTTGTCTGATGTTCGGGTCTCCTGAGAAGAGACATTTTGGGGGCATAGTTCTGTTGCTAGTAGGGAGAGTTTGAGTGACATTTCTCAAAGTGTTAAAGAAAATATTTTAAAATATAATGTGAAGAATTCACTTTCATCTCATAGCCAAATGCCTTGGGGGTATGCGTCTCTCAATCACAGGGAGCTTTTTAACTTGATGTATTCCACACTTGGTTATTTAGCTCTGGTACAATTACTGAATTGACGGAACAAATCACTTCATTACAGATTGGACCAGAAGGTGCCTACCTCTTGTGGAACTGGGGTCTCAGAGGATCCCAAGCTGAATCTCTGTAAGGTCTAAACAGAGCAAGGGGAGGATCGGAAAGGAGAACTGGACTGCACACTTCTTTTGTTTCTGGAGACCACGCACTGAGATCCCTTGTGAGTACTGGGTATGTGGCTAACATATTTAAGGGGCCTCTTCACCTAAGACATCAGGGTGAAGACCGGGCGGTCGGTTGGGTTTGCAAGGGTTCGATTCACTACCCAGGACCAGTGTACAATATCTGAAGACATTCCCATTTTTGGAAACAACAAAAGGAATTAGCTGAGAACACAGACATAACTATGGATGAATGATACACAGTCTGCTAAAAAAAGAGGATTCACATGCCTTTCGATACTGAATAAAATAATACGCAGCACAGGAGTGTTCTTGCTTCAATTCCAGTTCCTTCTGAAGATACTGGCAAAGTCTTCTAGCCATGAGTTGCTGATCTCAAATCTGATTCCAGCCCACGACGTGTTCCGATCCTGTCCTTCTGGTCCCAGCCTGTGTTCATCGCTAGAATTGCACATTGATCTTTACCTCTCAGACTGCAGAGTGTCCTCAGTCCCATGCTACAGCACATTCTCACGCAGCCATCTGGCCTCGCCTCTTTTGTTTTACTTTTTGAAGATTTTATTTATTTATTTTTAGAGAGAGAAGAGGGGAGGGAGAAAGGGAGGGAGAAACTCTGACGTGAGGGAGAACACCGATCTGTTGCCTCTTGCAGGGCCCCTACCCAGGGACCTGGCGCACGACCCAGGCGTGCGCCCCGACTGGGAATCCAATGGGCGACCTTTCAGTTTGTGGGGCAACGTCCAACCCACTGAGCCACACCAGACAGGCCAAGGGGCCTCACCTCCTTTGGCCTCTGGGCTTTCCCACGCTGGGCTTGTTTCTGCTCACACTTTCTTCCATGTTTTGTCCTCTGCATGGCCTCTGAGACTTTTTCTTAGGCACCTGCTTTTCAAACCTTCATCTTCAGCTTCCAGACCTTGAAAGCAGCGTTTCCCAACCTTTCCCCATCACAGCACACCAAGAAAGTGATATTTTTGTTTCCCACCAGCACAGGAGTGTTCTTGTTTCAAAACTGGCATGGTTTTGAGCCTCAGTGGAGGCTTCAGGGGATGGGGGTGACCAGCTCAGGACTCCAGCCACTTGACAATCAAGAGGTCAGCATCTTGGGGTACCCTTGTAGAGATGCTCTGCTCTGGTAGAGCCTGCCTTGGCCACGTGACCATGTGGCGAATGTCTGCTGTGGTATCCTAGCTCTTTCTGGTCCCTCTCACCTTCTTGACTGCACAGGCTCTGCTGTCCTGCTCAGTGAAGACTTGCCTCTCAACCAGCCTTGACCCCTCACTGCCTATATCCTTGCTATTCTGAGTGTGGTCCTCGCCCCAGCACTGCAAACATCTCCTGGGAGCTTGCCAGCCGTGCAGAATCTTAGATCACACACAGGCCTGCTGACTAGGAATCTGCATTCTTGTGCCTACCCTTCTGGTCATATTCTGACAGTTTCTTTTAAGTGTCCGGACCCCTCATTGGTCTGTTAGCATGTTTATCTTCTCTGGAAATGTAGCAATACAGGTTTTCTTTTTTAAAAAATAACTTTTTATTTTTCAATTACAGTTGACATACATACAGTGTTATATTATTTTCAGGTATACAGTGTTGTATTAGTTTCTGGTCATTATGCAAATAAACCCAGCAATTAGATATTTATATAACTTCTGGCATGATCAGCAATAAATCTAGCGCCCTCTGACACCACACATAGTTATTACAATATTACCGACTGTATTCCCTATGCTGTGCTTTGCATCCCCGTGACTGTTCCGTAACTACCAGTTTGTACTCCTAATTTCTTCCCCTTTTCACACAGCGTCTGTTGCTCCTTTAGGTTTTAGACTCCACTGTGGTTGAAGGCCAAGTGCTTATGACTGCAGTGGTGCCTCTTTCGTCCTTTCTTTGGAAATAGTACAGGATAGTGGGAAGAAGAGGGTGTTTGAGCTGGACATCGGGCTGGGGATCCCAGCTCTACCACTCGCTACTGTGTGACACTGAGGTTACTGTTTAACCTCTGGGCCTCCTTTCCTCATTTGTTATCTAGAATAGAAGCAGCTGCCTGGTGGGGCTTCTGTGAGGATTAAATAAGATGATATACGGGGAGTGCTGAGCGGGCAACCAGTATTTGTTCTTCCTCCCCCTCTCAACTGTTTCTCTCCCGCTATTCCTGGGCTCATGGTCCTTTTAAGAAAGCAGATGAAAATAAAGCCCAGCACAAGGCTTCCTCCTTGTATTTTCTAGCATTTGTGTTCTCCACGCCATCTTTGGACCACCCTCTTTCTCTTCCATCACTACATACTTTTGCAGAGTGATTTCATGTGTTCCCATGGCATTAACTGCTAATCACATGCTGGTGACTCCCAGGTCCTCTTCCTCTTGCCTGAACTCCAGACCCGCATCTCTACCTGCTCACTGGATACCCTACAGACCAGAGATCATTTAAACCAAACTCGTTGTCTTTCCTACCACTTACACCATTCGAGTGAAATTCTTTTACCAGTATATCTCCCTGATTAGGCTCCCTGATCTTTTTGAGGGCAGGGGTTGTTTTTTTATTTATTTTTGAGTCTATAGCATTCAGACAGATTTTATCTGAAAAAAAGTATTTGACCTCTATTTTTGAATGATATTTTTTCTCGGCATAAAATTCTTGGTTGAGAAGTCTACCCCCATACCAGTATACTCCCCCCACCCTTATCCATGAGTTATGCATTCCAAGGACCCCAAAACCATAGACAGTACTGAACCCTATGTTCAGTTGACCCTTGAACAACATAGGTTTGAATTACACATGTCCACTTATATGCAGATTTTTTTCAACTTGCCCCACACAGTTCAAGCCCACGTTGGTCAATGGTCAACTCCGTGGTTGGGAATCTGTGTATACAGAGGGCCTGCTCTAGTTATACCTGGATTTTCCACTGCACAGGAAGTTGGTGCCCTTAACTCCAACATTATTCAAGGGTAAACTTCATACTATACTTTTGCCTATGTGTACACACCTTTTCAGTTAAAGGAAGCAGTTTATGGCTTCTCTTCGGCACATTTGAATTGCCAATATCATTACTCTTGCGTTTTGGGGTCATTATGCAAATAAAATAGCTTGATAGAAGTTAAATTCAGAAGCCAACAATTTTTGATGGATTTAAATTTGACTTTTCCCTTGAGGAAACACTACAAAGTTATGCAATTTTACAAATTTATCCAAGAAGGAAATACAAAATTACTGATTTCTGTGGTATTTTTTTTTACAATATTATTATTAGAAAACAGATGCTTTCTCTTTCTGAATGAAGATAAAGAAATTATTTCAAGTCATGAAATCACAAATTCCAGAGACTTCTTAATAAGAATTCAAGTAGTTTAATTATGAAGACATTTGTTTTTGTGGTGCTGTAGCTGCTGCTAAATTTAATGGGAAAAACAATTAGGATTGTTATATCCCCAAACTTCCCAATTCTTATAAATAAAACATTCAGGCATTAATCAGTTAATTAACATAACTTAACACAATGTTTTCTAAATCAGAAATCTAGACCGTGTGATCACAATATGAATATATTTGTGAAAGCAAACATTATCTCCCCAGCCTCTGGAATGCTTCATGAGCTACATTTGTACCTCCCTATTTTTTTTCTACGGATTGGCTCATTGTGATGATGATGAAGAAGTTGAAGCTGATGATGACGGTGACTGATGATAATAGCTATACTTATAAAGGGTTTACCATGTTTCGAGAGTATCATCTCATTTCATCTTCACTGCAATCATTTGAGTAAGTGCTAATATTATTCCCATTTATAGATGAGAAATCCAAGGCTGTAGGCTGTTCAGGATCACATGGCTGGTGAATGGCAGAGACAGGATTCAGACTCAGGTGTGCTTGACTCCAAAGACCACTGACGTAGGTAGAACAAGTCACACAGCTCCACAAACTTGGATCAGTTTTTGAACTGCTCACAGGGCTGAATCTCATATCTTGATTCTGGAGACACAGCCAAGACAGGATCACTGACAAAAATCTTTTTGTTTTCCTCGGCCTTGTCAGTATTACTTTTCAGGCATTTCTTTGACACCTCACGATACAGAGCTATTTGTAAGCCTGCCAAAATGCTTATGACTTGGAAATACCTTATTTTTAAAAAATTTATTTTTCAGTTACAGTTTACATTCAATATTATTTTATATTTAGACAAGAAAAATAGGGAGGTACCCTGTTGTTATCCCAAGTATTTTTGGATTATTAGGTCCTGTGAGTCAATATTCATGGGTCAAATGGTCCTCTTACTTCAAAAAATGATAAGCCTAGTTGTTTACCCCAGAACTTCATACCTCCCAACAGTTAGAAATGCATAATCACTTTCTCTGCACAGAGGCCCTCCCTGGGAACTGTCCATGGTGGCTCCTTACAGAACTAACAAGTTACATTAGGACCTTCCAGTGTTAGACATGGTGCTGAATTTCTAGCTCTCTTTCTCTCTTCCTCTCTCACTCCCTATTTTTCTCTTCATTCCTTCCTCCCTTCCTCTCCTCCCTTCCCTTCCTCTCTTTCCCCTCCCCTTTCACGTACTTTTGATTACAGAGATACTACAGGAATACAGGAAAACTATGTAGATCTATCTAATTTGTCTCCTTATAGTTCAGATTTCAAGATTCTAATTTTCTAATGGTTAGAAATAGAAATATGTTTATCACATGCTAAAACAATAAAAGAATGTTCTTTGACAAGAAAGATCATAGGATGTCTATCACACATCCAAAATATATGGTGTCTTTAGATTAAATGTCGTATATTGTTAATCTTTAAGTCCCACAAATATAAAATGCAAAAAACATTATAGTTGCAGGGCCACTTTGGCCGAATTTCTGAGTATATGAGCCAATTTTTAAGGAGCAAAAGGAGCCAACTCACTGTGGTATGCTATATTACTGTTTCCCGTAATTTGGGTCTTTCTCTCTACCGTATGTTTATGGAAAGATTATACATTCTTGCCCCGTTGAACATAGAAGTGGCCATGTGACTTGCTTCAGCCAATACAATGTGGGCCAC